TGGGCTATGGTGTAGAACTTATTTTAGAAAGTGAGAAATTGCAGTATATAAGATTATTTTTTTTTATTCAGAATTTGAGTTGCACTTAAATTTCAAAAAAGGTAACTTTTTTTAAAAAAGAGAAGAACTCGAAATATACTTGAGTTGGCAAATTTTCTTGATAAGATGAGATGTGAAAGAAAACCTAATCTTATCAATTGAATTACCTTTGTCCAAGCCCAGTCTGGAGTTTTACTTGTTACAAAAATTGTATTTCTTTCAACTCCTAGTTTTTCTATACCTTGTCTTACAAGTATAGACTATATCTGGTAATAGTTTTTATTTATGTGCCACTGATAACCAGAAAATTCCGGAATGGGAAGACGACTTTAAGAATCAAGAATTAATTTTGGAAAGTCCAATTATCATGAGACAAAACAATAATGCATTGTAAGCAGACCCATTTAACTAAATTAGTGTTCTAATAAGTGTCTAGTAAAACTTTTGCTGGGTAACAACATAACATTGTGAGCCGATCAAAAGGAATTTTGCTCGAAGCGGGATGAACTGNTTCCATGAGGTTTTTGTTTATATTACTAGAAAGCCTTGAAAATGTTTGGTTTGGTGAGTGGACGGAGGGTTCAACGGAGATACAGTTTGTCGGAGACGACCTTACAATAGGGTAATTTTAGGGGTATGGTTCACAAACATACATCTAATTATTGCTATAATGTCGTCTTTCTATTCCATTGATTTCTGCTATTCACAGTATTTAAGGGGACTTTGAACCGAATTTCAAGTGACCCACCAGTACAACAGCCTTAACATTGCCGAAAAACTATGGTACAGTTTCGTCCTATTGTTTTTTCTTGAAAGGCATCTATGTTCTCCAAATATTTTAATTAATATCCTGCATTAATATGCAATTAGACACTTAATGTTAAATGAACCGCAATTGAAAATGTTTATTGAAAATGTTTTCAGATTAAAAAAAAAGGACAACACAATTATTTTTTGGCAGACGAAGGTTTATATTGGCTACCGTGGTTGTTGGAGGGTCACTTTATATTACAATTTACAGTAACGCTTACATTCCCTAAAAACTCAATTTTTTTTCTTTAAATTTTTTTTTGCAACCTTTTTAAGTTGTTCAGGTATTTACAAACCTAGTCCTTCCTCAGTACCATAAAGAGTAGCTCCATCAAATAATCTAAATCCAGCCTAATTATAAAAAAAATGATTAGTCTAGAAAAGGTATCTCAAAACACATCAAGTGAGGAACAGGACCTTTGTGTTTTCCCTGTTTCCCTTTTCTAGTCATTATTCTAGCTGTTAACCGCGTCCAGATTTAAAAAGAAATTTAAAAAGAATGTCGACATTTTTTCTTGTGCATCATTTTTCATTTTCAGCCAGCCATAAACCTTCCCCATAGAGCGTTCGTTTAAGTTGCTCCAAAATTTGTCCCTATCCGTTCAACCGTTTTAAGCTTACTAGATACAAACAAACAAAACACAAATAATTTAAATATTTAGATGTATTTACTTAAGACAATATAAGATAAGAGTATCATCATTTCCTCTACCTGATATGCTTGTTGAAATACTAGAGTAACATCATCTCCTCTACCTGATATGCTTGTTGAACTACCAGAGTAACATCATCTCCTCTACCTGATAAGCTTGTTGAACTACTAGATATGCCTGATATGCTTGATGAAATACTAGAGCAACATCATCTCCTCTACCTGATATGCTTGTTGAACTACTAGAGTAACATCATCTCCTCTACCTGATATGCGTGTTAAACTACTAGAGTAACATCATCTACTCTACCTGATATGCTTGTTGAACAACTAGAGTAACATCATCTCCTCTATTGATGAATGAGGTTCCAGTTCCAAACCCTACTCTAGGTATGCTTCTACCAGTATTTAACTTTATACTGGAAACAACCATTCTTAGACAGGTAGGATCTGAAATTATTATTTTACAGGGTTAGCCACAAAGGAGGAGACTCTGTTGACGATCAAAACTCTTAAAACAAAATAATTTTAATGTAAAGAAAAAAAATGTAAAATAACGATATTGTATTGCATCTCTGAACTGTCATCTTTTGTGAATAAACCTGTAAAAAGCAATGCTACAAAAGTTGGGAGTTTTTTTATCAGTCCCTTTAACCCTAAACAGACTGGGGGGAATGTTTGTTTTTTTGTCTTAGCACTCTCATTTTTGACACTATCATCGTGAAATTTTGTGACTTTTAATGAATAGTAATAAAGATTTTTTTTACATCTAAAATTGCCCATAACTTTTTTGTGACTAAAGCTACATATCTAAAAACTATATTTTTGAAAAGCCCTTGAAAACTGGATATAGAAACATGTGTCACACTTTGAAGTTTGTTTAAATTATCGGTATAATTTTTTTTCAATGAGCTGGCATAGGCAAGTTGGGCTATGCACATGCATTTCAACCCAAAACCTATTCTCTAAGGCCTTTTTCTAGGAAGGGGGGGGGTGACGGCAAAAAATCAAAAACGAAACAATCGTTTTATAAAGCTTGTCGTTTTGTTAACAATCGTTAACCACAAACCTTCGTTAACAATCGTTAATGACAACCATTTGTTAACAATTGTTAACGAGGACCCTTCGTTAACAATCATTAACGACAACCCTTCGTTAATGATCGTTAACAAAGAGAAGAAACCGACCTGAAGGGCATCTGTACTTTTTCATTGTGTAGCTTAAAAAAAAGTTTTAGCTCCCCAGAACTGTTTAACTTCATGCAAGTTGCAATAAAGTTGCATGTCATTTTTTTCATCAAAAACGATCGTTTTTGCAAAAACGACCGTTTTTATAAAGTTCCTTGTTTTGCCAACAATTGTTAACGACAACCCTTTGTAAACAATCGTTTACGATGACCCTTTGTTAATGATCGTTACCAAAATTGTCAATAACAAACTTTTTTCAAAAACGATCATTTTACAACAGCGATAGTTTTTTTAAAAACAATCATATAAGAAACGGTTGTTTTTATAAAAACGATAGTTTTCAAAAACGATCGTCATTCGTTTTCTAAAAGCTTAAAATAAGTGGGTCGTTTTAAAAAACAATCTTTTTTTCCGAAAACGAAACAATCGTTTTTAAAAACGATCAGAAAAGGAAACAAAAAATTTTCACTTAAAAATCCTTCTAAAAACAATTAACAACCCTACTCGCGAATGCCACAATGAATTATAAAAAAAGACTAGTATATATTTAGGGTACGGTTAGGCTAAGACACGAAAAATAAAGTAAAAATTATACAGTAATCTTATTGGGAACATATTTCTCAAAAGAAATTTTTCAATAAATCAATGCTAGAATCAATTATTTTGTTTTTATCATTTTATTGAATTTCTAATTTTCTTTGTTGAATTTATTTGCAGATTTCTTTAAATATTTCAAATGTTGTCCTTTTAATAATAATTTCAGAAAATCTTTGTGAATAATGAGAAACTAGAATAATGAGAAAATAGAAACAAATAGTTGAAAAAATTACGTATTTTCGATGATAAGTTAATTTTTTATTTTCTCAACCGGTTCCTAAACAACTAATTAGTTTAATGTAGAGTTTTGTTTACATTTTTCGTCGTCGTTATTTAGTAATTTTAAAAAACCGATTCTGAAAACGTATCCACCACATAGCAGGAGTTTTGAACGTCGAATTTGCGCTCAAACTCAGGCTTTACAGATCTTTAAAAAGTTTTATATATCTCAAATGAATCCTAAAGAAGCGTTCCACAACACTGCATACTCAGTTCAACTACCTTACATAGCCGGTCTGTCCCTTCAAATAGTTTGGAGTTAGGGTGCACCCTTCTACCTCAAATTGAGAATAAATACTTGAACATGTGCTATGTCACTATAGTTTCAGTAGAAGTTTCCATTTCTGTTTGCGCCAATATACGGATTTATCTCTAATTGGATAATGAGATAGATAAAAAGATAGATGTTACCGCCATGCAATTTCTATTGGTTCAGAATAGACAAAAAAGGCATGACTGAACCCTGATTGCATCAGGCGCTAATGGACTCACCATACAAGAGTGATATGTACAGAGCGTCCCATATCATTAGATTATCTCCAAGCTTTAACACCAAAAAAACATAATAATCGAAAAAATTTATTCTTTAAAAGCCTTATTTAATTTTTCAAGATGATTTATTCTAATAAAATTTTCTGATTAGTCCTGAGAATCGTAATCTAGGCCTATTTGACGGTCTAATATGATGTAGGACACCCTGTTGACAAAACAAAATTCTGACTTCAGATTACAATTATTAGTTTAGACTTTAAAGCACACAAATGACAAAAATATCATAAAAGATTTTCTTTTGAAACTAATATACTAGACCTGAGCAGCAGTTTTGTTATGAACTCCTCCTATTCTCTCTAGAACAGGATCTGATAGCAGCATATCTTTACCATTCCCTAGAGGGGCATATGCCTGAAAAAATAGTAAACTTATATTCATTCTGAAGCTAGTTATTACTTATTATTATTTTAAGTAGTAGAAGTATTTGTATTATTATCATTGTTGTTATTTTTATTTTCATTATTATTACTAACTTGAAGGAGAATCCCAGTTTGTTTACAATATTCTTGTATAGGAGAGTCTACAATGTAGGGATTGAACTCAACCTTAAAACAATGAGAAACTCATTATTAAATATTGTTTTTTACATTTCTAATCCATATATCTTTGCAACCAAAATATTTATCTTAGATATTAAAACTTAAAATTGTGACACAAATACTACAGTAAATTAAAAAAAACTATCGTCTNCCCCCCCCCTCAATTTTCCCTAATTGTTTAAACCCCTTGAAACTAATCTTTACATGAAACACATCATACAGAATAAAGATAGAGTTGGGTTGAATAGTTTGCAATAGAGCCAACATTAACTTAGAAACTTTAAACAGCATATTAAATATCAGGCCTTTACAACTGTAACAATCAAAGTAAATTTAGGGTTTTTAAAAAAGGGGGGGGGAGAGAAATTTTAAATAATATAAATTTGTACAAGCTTAATATTTAGGGTTGTTAAAAAACTGTAAACATTTTTACTGTTCTATATATATACATATATTTTCTTGTATATTATTCACAAAAGCCATTTAACTTTAAATAAATGTTACTTGAAATATACGTATTTTTAAACGTTGTTTTATACTATTTAAACACAGAATTATCAAAATTGAAATCTCAAAAAGTATCTTATAGTGTATTTGTTTTATCTGGAAAGGTATGTGTGTAAACTGCTAAAGACTTAACGTGAATCTAATTGTGAATGTGGAACGGCCTCTAAAGATTTAAAATGATTCAAAAGAAAATTTCTGAATTTAAATTTTCTTAAATTACTTTTTCTTACTTGTTTTTTGAACATCTGCCTTGAATAATTTTAAAAACTATTAATTAAACATGCAACCCATGCATCATTGATTAGTCATCTAATGCAAAATCTAGAGCAAGACTAAGAAGTATAAAAAAAACCTACAAACTGAATCTAATTTCCTTTTCGTTTAAATATTCCAATGAACAACAGGAAACACGGCATGTGTACACTGTATGCAATTTAAAGTGGGTCAAAGGTTTCAAGCTAGTTGTATCTTATAAACTAAATTACTAATTAATTCTACAGTCCTAAATTTTTTTTAATCATTGTAACACTTTACAGTCGAGCTAGTCTTAGAAATTGAAGGAAATTTTCATAGCAGTCTGTACACTGTACAGTGTACAGTGTACATAGTCCCATTTTACTTAAAGAGAGAGAGAGACCTGCTAGACATGATAGTTGAGCTGAGAGTGCTGTATTAAAAAAGAAATCATTAATGATCCATTTAAGACCTTTAAGACGTACCTTTCTGACATTTTTAAAAACAATTTTAATTCTAACTGCAAAAAATACTCATAATAAGATTTGTTAACTATTGTCTTCCATCGTTTTCTGGTTTTCGCTGTAAATACAATATCATTAATAAATACCTGATTAACAGCAGGTGTTATGGTGACTTCAGGATTCTTTAATAATTTCTTCAGATGGTTTACAGTAAAATTGGAAACACCAATATCTCTGCAAATAATATTTTACATTTGCAAATATTGATTCACAGGGTTACCCATAAAAGGGTGAGATGTGAGAGAAGATTGTATATAATTTGTTTAGACCGTTTTCTTTTTTTTCTGGGTTTCCTTGTAGGCCAAAACTGGCTTATTTCTGTGCTTAATCATTTAAATTTAAATCATAATTAATTTTATGCAAAATCAAGATTCAAATCATCATATTTTTTCATTTTAGGGTTGTACTTACAATCAGATCATTCTCTTCCTTCTTTGAAGAAAATACTTTTAAGAGTTTATGACTTCAAAAAGTATCAAACAATCTACCTTTCATTTTTTGCTAACACTCCCTTTGAACAATAAAGTATGTTTACTGTTCAAAAGGTTTCTACTATTTTATCAATAAATGCACTTTAAAATTTAAGTTTGTTGTCTTTAATTTATCATGTTTAATAATACATTCTTTACCTGACCAAACCCTTCTCCACACACAGCTGGAGGCCCAGCCACATCTGTTAGCAAGGACTTATAAGAGAAAAAATAACGTTTGATAGATTTATAATAAATCAATTGCAATGAAAACCTTGATGAAACAATGATCACTAACTGTTTTTAAGAAAAGATAAAGTGAAAGGGATTGGGAATCGCAAACATAAGTAGTGAAGCCAATTATTATTAAACAGATCAATTTCCTATCAAAAACTGCATAAAATATTTTTAAAGAAGACATGACATGTGCTAAAGATTCTTTTTTTCTCCATAAAACTATTTCCCGAGATTTTACTTTTAAATCAAAATGTAATTTTTTCTAATGGCTTTTTTTTGGCAGTGGTGAAAGGTCATAGATGTAACTGTAAATGTAGATTTAAATTTTGTCACATAAACCATTCCCCAATCTTCAAAAAAAGTTTTTCTACCCTCTCAAAAAAAATAATTCTTTTGCATTCTTATCTATATGACAAATGCCTTCTTTGCATTTATTTCTTAATGATTTAGAAGCATCATTTTGGTGTAATCTATTTTTTCATCTTGGTAAGTTGCTGCTTAGGAAAATGAACATGGGAAATTGTCACTTAGGAAAATACCCTTGGGAAGTCGGTGCTTGGTAAAATACCTTTGGATAAGTAAAGTGCCTGGCATTGCTTAGTATGATAAAGTATGATACCAGTAAAACAAAATGACAGCTTCATATTTGTTTTACTTAATTTAACTCTATAATAATATTAAATAACTGTTGAGCATTTAGTTAGACAAAAGGTTAGGTCTGTTTAAAGCCTATGCCTGAAGTCTACAGGTGTCCATGACAGCTTCATCTAGTGGATCAGGGAGGTTCTTAATCTCTTCAGGAGTCAAATAGGTAGCCATAAACTTAGCACCAATCCTAGGTACAAACTTGATGTGTATCGAGAAGTGATTAAACTACACAGACTAAGTTAAATTCCAAGAGGTAACCTTGCTAAAAAAAATTCAAATTCTTTTTCTTTCAAAATTTTTCTAAATTCGTTTCTTTATTCCATGGGCAAAACCAGGCACTCGAGCTAGTTATTATTATTATCATTATACCTAGGAGCTGGGCTATGGTGTAGAACTAAGTCCAAATAATCAAGTTTCAATCTTTTCAAACAGCCCTCAACTTCAGCTACAATAGTTTCCTGCAGGGAAACAATTTATAAAATGATTACTTAAAAATATGTTGGACATGAGATTATATAGTGGATAAAACAATATTAAATAAAATTTGTATTTAACAATCTAAAACAAATCAGAATTGATGCAATTAAAATCATTTGATTTAAACAAGAATATACATTTGCAAAAAAAATCTGAAACATTATTAAACCTTGGACCAGGCCCAATCTGGAGTTTTTGTCGTCACATAAAGTTCACTTCTGTCCACTCCTAACTCTGCAATTCCTCGACCTAATATCGAGATACCAAAAATATCAGAAAAATCAATGAGTCAGAAATATTGAGATATCAGAAATATAAAAATATGAGAAATAACAAGATATCAGAAATAACAAGGAATCAGAAATACAAAAATGTTAGAAATATCAAGATGTCAGAAATATCTTAATGTAAGAAAAATCCAAATGTTATAAATATCAAAATGTCAGAAATATCAAATATTAGAAATATCAATATGTCAGAAATATCAAAATTTTAGAAATATCAAAATGACAGAAATATCGAAATTACAGAAATATCCAAATGTCAGAAATATCAAGATGTCAGAAATATTTCTTTGTCAACAAATCGACATGTTAAAAATATAGCTTTGTTAGAAATATCTAGTATGACATTCATTAAAGCTCTGACATAATTAGCCTTGACGATTATCAACCAGGTCAGAAATTAACATTTTCATATGATCTTAAAATACTTTGATAGAAATGTGTTACTTTTTCAGTAGCTAGATTTTAAAAAAGTGGTTACAAAATCAAATGATAGATAAAGCTCTAAGGTTTATAACTAAAAAATCATATTTTTCATTACAATTTGTCTGAAACTTTAGGGTCAATTTAAGAAAATTTGGAAAATAAGATCAGTTCAGTTGGAACAATTTCTCAATCGAATCCTTAGACAGAACAAATATTGTCGACATGTTATCAATAATAGGCTTACAGGGCGTTGTTGCTAATATAGTTTCTATAGGAAAAAAAACACTCGCCACAGCCTAATACTTCATTTGTTTCTATTGGAATTGAACTTTGTAATCCTTATCTTTGCAACCTAATGTTGTATTTCTTTGAATTCTATTAGATCAATGTATAGTCTTTGTTTGAAATATGAAAGATGTATACCATCAGGTTGCTAAATATAGGAATCAGTCGTTTCCAGTTTTGGAAAGAGAAAAAATTAAAGCTAACCTAGGCCTTCCTCAGTTCCATATATTCTGGCACAATCAAATGATCTAAACCCTGCCTAACAATAAACATTTTTAAAATAATCACTGAAAAGAAAACTATTTAATTTGAAAACTACAGATGCATGTTTGTTTGAAATAAAGAATAGGAAAGGAATAAATGTTCAGAAATAACCATATTAAAAGGAACTATTCTTATTAAAACTTTTTATCAATGAATTAATTTATAAAGAAATTGAGCCGCAAATTCAAATTTTCTAATCTCTTTAATACGCCGTCTACTAAAATTACCTTCTTTTAAACCAAAAGAAAATCTGTATGCAGGTGAAATGTTTGAAAAATAAACTTTTTAAAATTGTATTTTTTCCAAGTTTTATCTTGTTTATATTCTTTATAAAGTTTAATTTGGTGCTTGCAAAGAGGGGGAAGGCCTGATTTACAACAATACCATTTAAACCTTTGAATGATTCTTGAGGTCAGAAAACTTTGCGCTTTTACCTCTAACATAATGTACAAATTACAGAAAAATCCAAGTGTACGCTAGCGTACAGTATTAATTCCTAAATCAACTCATCTAACGCAACAAATCATTTTTGAAAACAAGTTATATCCAAAGCGATTTTCAAACATTTGAATGAAAATATATTCATTTTCTGAAACTTCTTCTAAAAATTAAATATAAAACAACTTGCAACTGCAAGACAATTAAACATATTGCTGCAATTCTTGATTATTAAAGAATACTGTTTTGAATCAGACACAACAATCTACAAATGAAAGGTCGCTTGAAATTAGCAAAAAGTTTTGGGTCTTAAATTCCAAAAAAAACTAAGATTTGGATATGCAAGAAAATTACAGAAATTTTCTGTTGTATTTTTGGTTGCTTCAGTTAGTCAACAAACATAACTTAACGGTTTTCTTCTTTTGTAAACATTTGTAAACCTTTGTTCTTCAACAAAGCTTTGCCCATCCCTATGAAAAAGACTGCCCATATTTTCTTTCATCTCTGAAACTTTTTAATATTATTCTTTATGCAAAGAGTTTCCTCGTCCTCAAACCATCTTTGATCTGATAATCTGGGAAGTCCAAGAACATAATGCGTTTTGCAATTTCCTTGCATTTTTTTTCTTGCATTCCAAGGATATTAAATTTTGGTGTATTATGCATTGCTGGGCATCCTTTTTGATCAAAAGCATAAACAAATCAAACCCAATTCTTTGTTAAAATAAACTTTTAAATTTGGTCTCTTGAAAGCCCAAAAAACTGGATGAAATTTTTTGGACAAAGCTGAATTTTGTCCATGTTGATTTCTAATATTGACAGATCGAATTCTTACTCATGAGTCATGAAAAGCTCTTTGTATCTCTCACCCAGACTAACTTTGGACCAGTTCTTACATATCATATTTTAATCATGTTGTACATAAAACTCAATAAATCAGTATTCAGAATTATAGGATCAATAAATCCATATAGAACTGCTTTACTTTCAGAGGAAGAGCCCTGATATTTTAGTTTACTGTGCATATTAAAGTGAAACTTATTACACTTGTACACAGGGTTTGCTCAAAAGAATTTCTAAGTAAAATCTTGAAAAAGGATCTTAACACTTGCATCTCTCTCTATTTTATATCTCTCTATTTCATTGCAACCTTTAATATTTGTTCTTATTGAAATATCAACGAACTTAGACATCAAATAGCTTAAAGGATATGAAATTTGGTAGGTTGAGGTAGGTTATCAGTTGTTTTAAGAAGGACCTGGTAAGCATGTTTGACGACATCAGCTACAGCATCTCCTCTGTTAAAGAATGAGGTTCCAGTTCCAAACCCAACTCCAGGTATACTTCTACCAGTGTTCAATTTTATACTGGAGACAACCATTTTTATCATCAATCTCAAATCTGAAATCTGAAACATAATCTCTTATTTTGTGTTCTACAGTGAAGAAGAAGACCAAGGCGGAATGAAAATAATATAAGGTGATATGCCCGATTTGCAACAGTACACTTTGGCTGATACAAAATGAGATATTCTTGTTTTTTTAGAGAGAAGCTGATTTTTACTTTCATTTCTATATTTCCAATTTGCAATGTACCCTTTGGCTGATACAGATTGCATGAGATATTATTGTTTTTCTAGAGGGAAACTGATTTTTACTTTCTTTCTATAACCAGAACTTGTTTATTTATGGTGCAGAGCGGAAAAAGGAAATTCTCAGAATCTCTTGTAGAAATTTAATCCTCTAGATAGATAAAAAACAAAATATTTCTCATTTTTACCTGGATAAAGGTTTAAAAGGTGTTTATCCTGTTCTAAGGAGGGTTACTTCAAATAAAGTCTACTTTCCTTTTCAGATTTTTATTTGAAATTTTTAATTGTTTTAAATTTTTATACAAATTTTGTATTTTTTGATTAATTGTTAAATCTGAGCTCAGTAATCAAATTAACCTTTTTTCTTTTAGAGGTTGGATCCCCTAATACAATTAAATAGATTAGATATAGAAACATACATAACTTCTATATTTCCTAGCATCATTGCTAGATTTTCAAGCAACATTTTTACTTCTCCTGGCATCATTTTTACTTTTCCTGACATCATTTCTACTTTTCCTGATATTATTTCTACTTTTCCTACCAACATTTTTACTTTCCCTAACAGCGTTTCTACATTTCCTACCAACATTTCTACTTTTCCTGACATAATTTCTACATTTCCTACCAACATTACTACTTTTCCTACCAACATTTCTACTTTTCCTAACAGCATTTCTACATTTCCTACCAACATTTCTACTTTTCTAACATGATTTCTACATTTCCTACCAACATTACTACTTTTCCTACCAACATTTCTACTTTTCCTAACAGCATTTCTACATTTCCTACCAACATTTCTACATTTCCTACCAACATTTCTACTTTTCCTAACATCATACCATTTCTACATTTCCTACCAACATTTCTAGTTTTTCTAGCATTATTTCTACATTTCCTACCAACATTTCTACATTTCCTACCAACATTTCTACATTTCCTACCAACATTTCTACTTTTGCTAATATCATTTCTACATTTCCTACCAACATTTCTACATTTCCTACCAACATTTCTACTTTTCCTAACATAATTTCTACATTTCCTACTAACATTTCTACTTTTCCTAACATCATTTCTCCATTTCCTACCAAAATTTCTACTTTTCCTAATATCATTTTTACATTTCCTACAAACATTTCTACTTTTCCTAACATCATTTCTACATTTCCAACCAAAATTTCTACTTTTCCTACCATTATTTCTACTTTTCCTTCCAGCACTATATTTATAGATTTATCAATCTAAACTTATGTAAAAAATATTCTTAAAAATATCCTCTGTTCCACTTTATAAACTAGTTATGACTGTAAATTAATGTCCTCTCATCCAATATTATATTTTATTGCCGACTGATGACAGTTAAAGATGTTTACAGCAACTAAAAAACTCAGATTTTATGAATTTTTACAAACTGCACATTGTTGAGGTTAGTGACATTATTTGACAGAGATGTAGTCTGTTCCGTATAAACTACTTTAACAAGGTTGCATCTTTTTTCAAAATTGGGTCAGCTTTAAAGCATCGCATCTCCAAGGCAGCAGAAGCCAAAGGATTTACGCCCATGCCGTGAGAGCCTGTTCTGGCTGTGGCACTCGGCTCCACTAGCCTGTCCTAGCCGCACCCCTCGGCCCAGAAAGTGTCTTAACCAGACCTAAGCCTAAATATATGTAGTGAATGCCCTAATCCATAAACTGCTTTCAAAATTGTATCTGTCCAGGTACAATTCATAAAATATCAATGCTAAACAAACGGTTTTGATCGCATAGGCTTCAATGTCAACTGGACATAAGCACACAAAACTAACAATGCCAAACAAATGGGCACAATCTCATAGGCTTCAATGTCAACCGGACATGAACACACAAACTGTAAATGGCAAACCAATGGGCACGATCTCATAGGCTTCAATGTCAACTGGACATAAGCACACAAACTATCAATGCCAAACCAATGGGCATGATCTCATAGGCTTAAATGTCAACTGAACAAAAGCACACAAACTATCAATGGCAAACCAATGGACACGATCGCATAAGCTTCAATGTCGACAGGACATAATCACACAAACTGTCAATGCCAAACCAATGGGCATGATCGCAAAGGCTTCAATGTCGACAGGACATAAGCACACAAAACTATCAATGCCAAACCAATGGGCATGATCTCATAGGCTTCAATGTCAACTGGACATAAGCACACAAAACTATCAATGCCAAACCAAAGGGCACAATCTTTTTGAAAAAACGATCGTTTTTGAAGAAAAAATTTATTGACAATTATGTAAACGATCGTTAACGAAGGGTTGTCGTTAACCATCATTAACAAAACGACAAACTTGATCAAAACGGTCGTTTTTGGAAAAAAATTACATGCAACTTTATTGAATGTTGTCTTACATGAAGTTTGACAAATGTGGGGGATCGTTAACGAAGGGTCGTTGTTAACGATCGTTAATGAAGGGTCATCGTTAATGATCGTTAACGAAGGGTTGTTGTTAACGATCGTTAACGAAGGGTCGTTGTTAAAGATCGTTAACAAAGGTTCGTCGTTAATGAAGGGTCGTTGTTAACGATCATTAACAAAACGATCGTTTTAAAAACGACCATTTTCAAAAAACGAATTTTTTTAAAAAAGGATCGTTTAAAAACGATTGTCGGACTGCAGGTACAAACATCGGACCAGTACAAACGTCGGAAGGGTACATTTATAAGAAAAAACGTCGGACTTGGTAGATTTTTAATGGACCATTGTTTTAAAAAATTTCAAACTATGAATTCTACAAGATCATACAGTTTAATCCATATATCTTTGAAACCTGCTGTTGTAGACCTTAGATATTTTAAACAAAGAATTCTACAATTCTTTAACTACTTGTTATTCTATTTCACGTACTCTTTTCTTCAACAGATCCCAGAAAATTGATAATCTTGACATTCTTTCCTTTGAATGCATTTGTAATAGGTTTTGTTGGGTTTCTTCTTTGTAACCCTATCTTCAAACTGATTTGAATCAAGTAGGTGCCGTCCCCCTTGCTTGACCTCAATATAGTCTCCTCATCCCGGTCCATGTGTCCAGACTTCGGGAGATTATGAATTTTTAACAAAAAAATTGGGATTTTTTTTTTGAGAGAAAATTGTGAATTTACAAGAATTTTAATCTGAAAATTCAAATATATTTTTTCCTCCTTAGTCCGACGTTTTTCCTTATAAATGTACCCGTCCTACGTTTGTACCAGTCTGACGTTTGTACTGGTCCGATGTTTGTACTGGTCTGACGTTTGTAAGTCTTATGTTTGTACCGTCCGACCTACTTGTGGGTCCGACGTTTGTACTGGTACCGGCGTAACTCCTATTGATAACTACCTACTGCAAAGGCCTTCGATTTTACCAAAAAATCTCACTTACACTTTTATGTAGTCCTAAATATTAAGATTTTAGAACCCCAAAGCATTGGAACTTTTTTATGGAGGATCGATATCTTAAACCTTCATCTATATCAAATTTTTCACTTTTGAATTTGATGATAACTAGTTGATCCATTTCTTTAAGCTAACCCTGTAGAGTAAGTCCACAGAGCGCGCCTGCGATTTAAAAACTTTGGCTCAAGCCTTAAATCCTTAAACCTGACTTTAAGACCTGATCTTCGACCCAACTCTGACGACAGCTTGTGACTTGTGATTGACAGCTGCAAGATCTTCAGCTCGACTTAAAGGAATTATAGGCCCAATGAAAATTATACCGACCTTGGTTGGTTTTAGTAGAGAATAAGGCTCATTGTTAAGACTTATTCTCAACAAAACCCGGAATGCGCCGATTTCTACCATGAAAATCCGTCAAATAGAATATTAAAGCGGGTTTTTTGAACTCAAGTCTGTGGAAAATAAGATGCAGCTTGAATCTGAAAGTTCAAGTCGTAAATAAGGCCCAACGACAGCTTAGACCCGAGCCGTATTTTCCCGAATTTTTCAAATCGCTGGCTCTGGATGAATAAGGTGGAGAGCAATATATGCAAAATTAAATTTTAAAAAAATCCCCCCAAAAAAGTTTTAAATTCTGATAACTTTTCACTTTTCGCCTCCTAACAGTCTCTGTAAATAAAAGGACAGTGTTGTTTATGTTGGTTTATTTTCATATCCCTTTTCCACGTACTGCAACTAATAACAATGATCAATGTAGTTGATTAAGCAAATACACACGTCAGAATCTAGCGTACATTTTCCTCCAAATGTCCTGACGGGATTTTATCAGCATGTGGTCTGTGGTATACTGAACTCTGAACTGAATGTATGTACTCCATGAACCTAGGCGTAAAACAAACAGAATCGACAACCTTAAACCAGTTTTAGGCGAGGGAGGGACTCTCATGCCGCCATGAGCCATCAATTGATTTGACCGAGCCTCTGCTTTACATCATGAGTGAATTCGGTATTAAAACAATAAATAATTTTATCTTTCAAAAGGAGAAATTTTAACCCTAAACAGGCTATTTTTCAACCACACCACTCTTGTAATTTTTCTTGACAATAGGACGTTTTTTTTGCTTTTAAGGCATACCATTTGTTAAATTCCTTTTTTACGTATATGGGAAAAGTGCAACAAAAAAGCCAATCAGTATTTTGAAAAAAAAAATCTAAAATAGCCGTTACTGTTTTTTTATTTAGGCGATATATCTATAAAATACATTTTTAATAAGCCCTAAAAAATTAACGTAGGATCAGGTGCCACATGTTCATATTGATCGAAAGCAAAACAAAAATATGTGTGCCTACCTTTTTCTATTATGTTTCTCAAACTTCCTTATCAGCTAG